AAGGCTGGGTGGAATGAGCATTGAAGTAATTTTTTCTAATGATTCAGACTCTGCATTACAATTTAATTATTTTCTAATAAAGCTAGGCTTTAGCTGCTTGTTGCTCATAAACAAGGCTCAGAAACATGAGCAGCCGAACAAACTAAAGGCACGGAGGGAACTGTTTCATTAGGGCCAATAAAACATCAGAAAACCATCTCCTGCTATGAAAGGCTTTTTTGGGGGAAGGGAAGAAGATCTATCTTATAAGTACAGCCACCCCCAAATTTAAATGAGGGAAGCCTGGCATTAACGAACAGCAATCCATGGAGCAAAGTAACTGATTTTTTTGATGTTGGGTGCAGAGGATGTGCCATAGTCCATAATTTTCTTCCTGGGCAGGCCCTATTTATAAGCAAATGGATATATAATTTGGTGAGTACTACTACACTTTGATTAGTACTGACAGTTTTTATTTGTCTCTACCATTTGCCCATTGAGGTATTTGAAATTCTACCATTAGTACTGTTTAAACCTAGGCAATGGCTCTAAAAGGTCACTGCAAAAAAGGCAAAAATGATTCTTGAAAAAGAAGGAAAGACTCTAGTGGTAATATCTCTCCTCTTGTCTTACATAGCAATTATTAGTTTATCTGATTGTGACCTTGAAAGGTAGAGAGAACCAGGTCTCCAGGAGTTGAGATAGAGGGCAGACAAACTACAATGGGGCTTAAGGAATGTAGAAAGTCTTTGATGGGGGTGGGGAGACCAGAGTTAGGTGCCACAGAAGGAGAAAAGATATGTGGAAAAGCCAAACTTAGCTTACTTCAAGATGTTGCCCAGGGTCCACCCTGCTCTGCTGCACTGATTGAGTAGGAATGCGCCTGAGAGATGACAAAGTACTGCTTCATCAGAGTTGGCTAGGCTTGCCTAGCCACTAATTTCCCCCCATCAACCAGAGGATATAAACTTTCTCCTACTAGGTCTGATTTTTCTCCATCATCTGTCCTTTATTCTTAGAATAGATTGGATTCATTATAAAAAACTCATCCTCCTGGGATATAGAGACCACCTAATGAGTGGTGATGGAAAGTGGCAGTTCTTTCCCATTATTACTTCATAAAGTGTGTATATTCGTTGCTGTGCATACCTCCTCTTCTTTCTTCCCTTCCCCCCATACATATGTATAGATACATATGTGGATTTATTTACCCTCACACAGAACCAGTTTTGTAGCCAATCTTATTTCTGAGATTTCAAAACTGCAAAACAAGTGAAACGTATGCTTCAAATACATATTCCTTCCATTTCTGAGTCTTTGTCTCCCTAATCTTATCTCTCTTCCCTCCCTTTCAGGGCCTTTCTGCTTTCTTATCTTCTCTGGGGCTAGGTGGTACAGTGGTTAGAACACTGGACCTCCAGTCAAATTTGGCCTTAGACACTTACAAGCTGTGTGACCCTGGGCAAAGTCATTTAACCTGCTTGCCTTAATTTCCTCAACTGTCAAATGGGTATAATCACCACATCTGCCTGGTTATGAGGCTCAAATGAGATATTTATAAAACACTTAATATAGCACTTGGCCCCTTTTGTCCCCCATTCCTGATTAAAATCTTGCCTTCTAGAAAAGATCTTAAGCTCATTCAGCTTTAGTTGTTAAACATATAGCACATCCTGGGGCAGGGAGGTGAGGGGGAGGTCCTCTCATGGGGATTCCCCCATCGAAGAGGGGGTATTTTCTGAAATCACAGGAGGGCCTCTCCTGCTTCAATTACCCTGCAGGCACACATGTTAGACTCTCATATTAATGTCATGGTGCCTGCCAATCAGAGGCAAATCCCGGAAGTACTGTGATGGCAATTCCAGGCTGAAATCCCATTAAAGTGCACCTGGAGTTTAGGGGACCATGAAAAGGGTCAGGCTCTCTTTGGAAAAGCCAATTAGATTGAAATTTAACCAAGCATTCTTTACTGGAGTGTTGGCTAGGAGACCTGGAAATGTTAATTGCATCCTTGACTTATGACAGAGGACTGCCTGGGAAGCCAAAAGCAGGTTGAATACCACGCCACATCTCCAATCTGTCCTGCTCCAGGAAAGCTGTAGAATGCCGATGATTAAGCAAGACCACTAAATACTAGCAAACTGCTAATTCCATCTGCTAAGTGATCCTTCAAGATATGTGTTTAATTCTATTGCAGCTGACCTTTTAATCTTAACTTTGTTGGCCTGGAAAAGAATCAAGACCAGGATCTGAGCCACTGCCCTCATACAGCTCCCTCCTTCATTTTTAGCTGGGTGCAAAATATGGAGAACATTTAAAAAGAAATTTATAAAGGTCAAACAAATAAAGACAGGGAAATGAGGGTGACAGAGGAGATAGTCCAAGTTGCATTATTTGTGTCCTTTGCCTCCAGCTAAAATACTGGAAAATGACTATGTGAAAATTAAATTAGGCCAGGAGCTTTATACATCACCTTCAATAAATAAGTACAATAGCAGTATCAGGGAGCAACATACTGCACAATTCTTAGCCTGCTAGGGTATATGTCAGGAGGATCTGGAAATTTATCCAACGGGTGTGACATACCTCTCACCTGAAAATGATTTGTTTTCCACTTGTGGATTCTCTTAGATAAGTAGATCCTGTTCATCACTCCCACCTGTTTGGTTAATTTAAATAAATGCATATTTGAAAATAAGGTGTTTTTTTTTTCCTCCCCTTGCTGTTACTAATACTCTCTCACTGAGCCAAGGAGGTTGCTAATTTTAAAGTCCACTGGGTAGCACTTTCCACTGATTATGTTGATATTGATTTAAACAGGCACAAGTCTTTAGAATCATTTTTAGAGCTATATCATGAGCAGGGCTGAAATGAAAATAAGTCTGAACTAATGAATACTCCTACATGGAAATCGTTAAGGGCTCAGCAGTGTCTGGGGAGCTAACTGGGCTTGGGTAGTGAATATTGTAGCTCAATGGAATGACTTCTTACTGATCATTTGCTTCCCTGAATGCCAATTTTTCTCCTCTTACTGTGCAATGATTGTCCCGGATTTGATTGGATTCAAGGAGAATTCATTCTGGAACTTGGTCTTAATCAAGTTCAAAGTGTATCCCTCCTGTAGCTGTTTTGAAGGATGGAGTGAGTGGGATCTTAAACAATTTGACTTGCTTTCTTCTGGCAAAATGGAGTTTTTATGTCTTTGCACACACTGTTATAAGCATCATCTTCATGACCCAGATTTGAACCCCACCTCTTCCTATAGTTGTGTGACTTGGGGCCAGTCCCTATTCTCTGCTCTTTGATTTCTGCTGTAAAATGAGGGAGTTGGATCACACAGTTGTTAAGGTTCCTTTCGTGTCTGGTATTCCCTGATCTTTTCATCTTGGGGTGTGTATCTACAGAAAACTTTCAAATTAACTGCTTTTCAGTTAAATACTATTTTGACCATCTTAATGACTGACCAGTCAATCTGATTAGTTGACTAAAACACCTGGAAACACCAGATGGCATTTTTCATTCTACTGCTTTTGGCTATAGACCCATGGTCTTGAATAAGTCTGGGCCATGTGAATGTAATGAGTGGGGCAGAGTTCCACAAATCCTTTTTTTAATTAAAAAAAAAAAATTGTGGTGGTATATGACATAAATAGTGGAAATCATTGGATTTTAGAGCTGGGATTTGCTCCAGTACAATTTTAGTGAGTTAGACTCTAGTACATGAATGGAAAAATGCTTGTTTAGAACACATCAATGATGTTACTGGAGGGCCCATATTCATATCATGAAACTTTTAGTGTATATGTGTATGTATGTGTATATATATGTATATGTATACATATACACATAAATATGTATACCTATACACATGTATCTATCTATCTATCTATCTATCTATCTATCTATCTATCTATCTATCTATCTATCTATGTGTATGTCCAAATCTGTACCCGAGTTGGGAAATCAAGCTACTATGGGAAAAATAATAAAACAGTTCAAGAGGGCAGAAATATAAAAATCATCTAGATTTATAGAGATCAGGGAAATGATTCCTTTGAGGGATTCGGATGAACATTACTGCAGAAGACATGTCTATATAGAAAGTTTGATTGAATCTACCAAAATGTGGTGGTTCTAGGCTTTTTGGACAGTTATAATGGCAAATTGTCTGATAAAGTGGTATAAATATCCAGAGTAGTCTCATGTTCTGCTGACTTGGGAACTTGGTCATTGAATTTGGTCACTCACTCAATCCAGTTCATTAGATGACAAAGAGCCAAAGTGGTATGCTATAAAGGGGAAGTATGAGGTTGTGTCTACACATCTTTCAAATGTTCGGATGAAGGGAAGAAAGTTAGTTACTCATTTGTCTAGAGACAATGTACATGATAAGAATATGGCTGTTTGGAAAAATCCAAGCAATTTTACTTTTCCCTAGCATGCTTGATGGTATGTAGATTGCAAGGTCCTAATCAGATAACAAATTACTCAAGGTCAGGGACTGTGGCTTCAATTCATTTTGTATCTCTTTCCTTTTTTTCTCTTCCTGCCTCCCCTCCCCCACCCTTTCCACTGCCAGTAGTACAGTGCTGGGAAAATGATGAATGTTTGCTGACTTAGCATAGTTCTAGCTTTTTCTGTTTGAAGCTAGCATGGACATTATAATTTTAAACAAAAAAAAAACTTGGAGAGAGAGCACTTTCTGACCTGTTACCATGACTATCCCTTTATAAATGGGATCTATTTGCCCAATACCATATGAAATGATCCATCTTTGCTACTCCTGTAATGTGTCACCATGACCTAATTTCCCCCCAATAACAGAAATATAAATATTTCAAAATGCTCATACGTACTCATTCAACCATGAATAAGTAATAGAGCCATTGGAGACAACTGAAGGGCACCAAAAAATGTGTTCTCTGCAAACAAGAAATCACTGAGTGATGGAAAGAGGAAAAAAAAGTCATTGTAAAAATAAAATCGAACATGTTTTCAATCAAATTCTAATTCAGAAAGGATTTTTAAAAATAAAGTTATTATTTATTCATTTTACTTGCTGGAAAATTCAGAATTCAGTTGTATTTGAATCCATTTGTCTCCAAATAATTCATTGGGAAGGATAGAATGACTTTTATAGATTCCTCTCTCCCCCTCCCCATTCACCTCCTGCTAGATCAGACCTGAATATGTGGTTATTATGCACTTTTAAAATAGAAGGGTCTATTTCTACTTAATGGAGATTGAAACCCAATCTTTCTGTTCTTCCAAAGGATTTTCTCAAAGAAGGGGAAGGGAAGGGAACAAATGTTTATTACGTACCTACTATGGGCCAGGTACTATGTATTCAAGCACTTTATAAATATTATCTCATCTGATCTAGGAGCTGTCAATGGTGCCCAGCCAGACCTAGAAAGTGTGCTGTGATATAAAGAGAGCCAGGTGAGAGTGAAGAGATGAGCATTTTAGGTCCGGGTGACCTTGGGCAAGTCACCAATTTCTAACTTCAGTCTAATTTCCTGAATTGTAAAATGGTAGGAATATGGAAATACCTGCCTGATAATGGACATGAAAAATGCTTTGCAAGATTCAAGGTGCCATACTAGTATGGTGGTGGTGACTTTTTGTTCACAGACTTGTCCTAATAAACCCAAATTTTTGTGAGAAGATCATAGAGATCTATTGTTAGGGATCTTGGCATTGGTGGATGCCCTAGAAGACCTTTAAAAACTTCAAAAATTTTAAATGTAGTTTATTTCAGGAAGGGTATAGACACCATAACCAGAAAAGATCCTTGGCTAGTCTTTAAATCTAAACCTCAAAAGTTAATTGATCATTTTTCTCCCATACAGAACCTATCAGGATGCCTCTCTGTAAGGGGCAGAGGATGATGGGAAGCTTCACTTAAGATTGAAAACATAGTGGCAGGGGGAGAGAGGAGAAAGCAAAAGCTAAGTAGTGGGAATGAACCAAAATTCAAGTTCTTAGGGAGTCTTCTAGGTTGTCAACCAGTGTTTCCATATCCACACTTGCTATTCTGTTGGCTACAAAAGATTCTAGACTAGTTACCATGGCAACAGTTGCTTCACTAGGTGTCTGTGATATGTTGGCGATCAAAAAGATTTCATTACATTAAAAAAAAGAGAGGGAGAAAAAACCCCCCAGACTTAGCAGGTTGTACTGTTGTGTTTGCTTTCTTCCTAATTTTTGGTACTTTTTTTGGGCAGAGTGGTGGTGGTGGGGAGGAATAAGCTGTTATATTTCTAAGCTTTCATTTTTAATTCCAGGCATTTCAATCCATGTCCTAATATTCTTTGAGAAGCCCACTTATCAAAAGAAAAGGCAGCAAGAAAGAGGAGATAAGGTGACTTGGGGACCGTGATACAAAGGAGAGTATATTTACTGGGTGATGTGTTTTTCAAAATTCTGTGCCACCATTTGGCTGAAAAGATAATGGCCCAACCAACAGGCAATCATATTTTATTGGCCACCTTCCTCACCTCTGTCCTCCCTATAAATCCTAGCTGTTGTTGTGTAATCCTACAGCAGGCAAAATGAAACATTTTCTCTTGCCTAGATTTTGTTTTCATTCCCATCTTCCTTAAATTCTAATCTGTAGAAACAGTGGTCTCAGCACCCATGGTTCCCCACTGGGGTAGCATTATGCAGTCAGATTCTGCAGCAATACAACTCCACAGATCTGTGAATGCTCAATGTAGGGTCTTGCATCTATGGCTGGAGGTCAGCTCTACTGCCCATGACCAACAATAAACAATGATCCTTTGTTATTGATATTCTGTAGAAGCTAACATAGGCCCTGGAGAGAAGATGGTAGGTAATACCTTCCTCCTTCTCCCTCCCTCACCCCCCCAAAAATCCCTTTATAATAAGTGTATCTTGTCTCCTTAACAATATAAACTTGGGTTATGATGTTCAAACAACCTTTCTGCATAAAACACTGGCCTTTCAAAGAGGTAAGAAGAGGCAACCATGGGCGTAATTTACCCACTGCCACTCACCCAATCACAATGCTGGACTGTGATCAAAGTAGAATCCTTAGTCAGACACACAGGGCAAGAGGGAGCATTTGGCCTGGCAGAAATAAAGAACATCAGAAGCGGAGAACCTTTCTATATGAAAAAATAGCAAAGGCAAAACTCTATGGATTGAATGACAGGGATTTGGTGAGCCCGTAGGAAATGGAGAGAGGCTTTTGGTGAGAAGAGATGGTCAAGCTAAGTCTAGAGCTCTCACTGACAATGTGGGACTTATCTGGGTCATCTGTGCTTTCCTGGGCTTTCTCAGCCCCTAGGAGCAAAGGGTCAAGACATTTTATGAAGCTGGGCTAAGCAGGGCTATCCAAATCCTGTCATCAAATTCATAGTCTCTGTGTAACTGGACTCAGGAATACATTGTATTGGTGTTTACAAAAGGGATACACCTGGGACCATGGGCTAGTCTAGTAAGGGAGTGTCGAATCATCCCATTCCAGCTGGGCTTGCCTGGGGCCATTCTGCCCACTTCTGCCCTTGCCAATCTCTTCCTCCTCTTCCTCACTGTCATCTGAGTCATCACTGGAACTGTCTTCTGCTTCCTCCTCTTCCTCCTCCTCTTCCTCACTTTCCTCGTCCACATGGCCAGGTTCTTCATATTTCTAGATGTCAATATAGGGAAAAAACACATTGAGAAACCCTCTTTAAGAGCCTGAATTCACAGAGTGCTGCTCAATAAAATCAATTTTTTTTTTTGCCTTTATTAAAGGATCTCCTATCACAACACTCATGAAAGTGTTTATATAATAAATGAGTCTTCTGGAAGTCTTTGCTCTTAATGCTAAAGACTCATGCCTTGAGAAATGTTCATCATTAATGCTAAATGGTTGGTAACTGGTGAAAGGACATAGGCCATATTCTATGCAAAACAGGAGGGAAATTCAATGGCTTTCTGGTATTGATTCTAGTCAGTGGGATGTTGGTGAAGTGTTGTCCTTAAAACATTGGAAGAAAGAATTCTATGGCAGTTCTACAAAGGTCATCACAATCATTTAATGAGTTAATCTAACAACAGTTGCATTAACATAGCCTTAATTTCTGCAAGGGGCTATTATTTTGAACATTTCAAGAGCATTTAATATTTGTAAGAAGCTATGTGTTCTTCTATAGATGTGCAGAATATTGAGGTTGCAACAAAACTTATTTGTTCTCTTTTGGCCCAGACTCATGATTCATTTTTGTTAGGGAACTGCAGGTATGGAAATGCCTTCCACTGGTTCAAATCATCAGTTGTGTAATTTGTAGTCTTAGTGGATTTGCCTGGGCCCATGAGGAGTTGTGATATAGTGGTGATGTAGCAGAGGTAGGATTTAGGTCTTCTGGACTGTGAGGTTAGAACTCTCATGACCACACCATGGTGTCTCTCATGAATCATTCACCCCTCAGAAAAGCTGATAATTTTTTACCTCTCTCCAGATGGAAATAAATACTTAAATTCATTGGGAGGTTATGACATCATTGGATAATATGTAATGTTAGATAGAAATACTACTTTTGGACAAGCATATGCACAGTTCTTCCTATTTTAGGTACTTAGGGAACAAGGATGACAAAAGTTCAGTCTTCATTGTTACACCCTCATTTCCAGGCATTTCCTTTTCATCTCAATCATTGCTTCACCTGTTTCTAGTTCCAAACCTCTAATTCACCTCCATTTCAAGTGCCCAACTAGTTAGCTATGACTTTGGTGAGTCACCTTTGGCTTTCATGAGTTTGAAAGTGGTGCTCGCTCCAAAATGTGGATTAGAGTGTTCCTCCCACATGGAATATCCTCTCTGTTTTCTAAACAGTGCCCATCCTTCAAGGTTCAGCTCAAAGAAAATTTTCTTTAAGCAACCTTCCCTCACTATTGTAGCCCAAAGTGACCTTTTTCTTCTCTAACTCCTCTTATATCACTTAATTCTCTACTCCATATTGCATGTGATTATGTAAGGTTTTGTATTCTCTAAATATTTCACCTGTTTTAGTGCTCTCTGCCCCCCACCATTACATTTCTTGGAAGTGGAGAGGGAGGAATGGGGCTGGCAGGACCATGCTTTCTTCTGCTTTTGTGTTAGTTTATAGTTACACTGAACTGGACACATTATATGTGCTCAATACAAATGTTGACTGTTACATTGCATAGCTAGTTTAGTGTGGCTGACAGATGGGGTAGGTCCCAACATCTCCTTTCTCTTCTGTATTGTCCCACAACTCTCCTTTTTTATCATCCCTTTGCTGACTTCCTACTTTCCTGACCATCTACCCAGGCCCCTCTCAAGTATAGGCCTATTTATATTGTATGAAGTGAGTTCTTTCTGTCTGGGCTGAATCTCTTAGGGTTCTGTGTAATCAGTCAAGTGAAGGTAGGTGTTGCTGATACTAGCTAGTGGTGCAGCAATTTCTTTCATGAGCTGGCAACCAGTTTAACTTTAGCTGATGTGATTAGCTAGCACTTGCTTGGGTTCTAAATTTTGTTTTGTATTGACAAGGTTTATCTCCTCTGGGTATGTTTGTTTTCACAAATCGAGAAAGGCATAGGAATTGATGTGTGACTGTAGAGGTTTCACAGTGAAGATGGGGGCTTGGTGTAGGGCACATGTAGATGCGTATCAAATGCTCAGTAAATTTAGAAACTTAGTGCTTGCTGGCCAAAGAGCACAGACTTTTCGAAAGGCTTTAGGCAGAACAAAGAATCATAGAATCATAGATTTAGAGGGATAAATTGTAAAGGGGTCTTGGAGTTCATTTAGCCCAATTACCTAATTTTATAGATGAAAAAATTGACGGCCAAAGAAGTTGAGTTCCTTAAGGTCATATTGATAGTAAGTAACGGAGTTAGAATTTTTCCCAACAACTCCCCTCTGCAAAAAAAAAAAAATCCTTTGAGGGCTCCTTATATCATAGGTGATGTATCAAACTGCCTATCAGAATATACTCTTTCCTTGATAGCTCCCAAGTCTTTGGAGCAAGGCTCAGTCATTCATATACTCAGCAAGCCTTTCCTGAGCACCTAGTATGTTCCCAGTTCTGTATACAAGAGAAGAAAATTGGGCTCTAGTCCTCAAGAAGTGTATCATTTTGATGGGTAACAAGACTAACATAAATGAAACAAGTGGTATACAAGCCAACATATAAGATGGTTTATAATTAATTAGGTGCTTAAGCCTCTAGTTCAGATTAGAAGTGCCAGAAGAATTCAGGGAAGAGACAGGGCTTGATCTGGCCCTTGAATAGATAGGGTTTTAAAAGACTGAGAAGAAAGGGGAAGGGCATTCCAGGAGGGACTTTCCAGTTAAGGTGTATGGTTTACCTCCATGGGATTGACCGTGATAGTAAGTGCAGAATCATCCCAATCCATTTCACTCTCTTTAGATGATTCACTCTCCTGTATGCAGTGCTGGTGTGCTACTCGGATTCGGTATACACCCATGGCTACAACAAATACCAGCATTCCAACACAGACAATTATGACCACCGTAGCAATGCTGGGAATGACTGAAAAGAGGAAAAGAGATAGAAGTGAATTGCGGATGTAGTTCTATTAAGTTCTTGGTTACATGGCATCATAGATATTTCTCAATAATAATTGCTATGCATAAGCATATGATGTTCATATCATCCTTTATACTTTCCAAAGTGATTTTTATCACTTCTATTATTTAATTATCTCTGTGAAATTCACAGGTTAGGTCAGAGAGTCGTAGGCTTTAGAGCTAGAAGGAACTTTAGAGATCCAACCAGGTCAATCCTGTTATTTTCTTGTTGAAGAAACTGATGCATGCCCAGAGAGGTGAGGTAAATTACCCAGAGTCACCCACGTAGTAAATACCAAAGCCAACATTCAAACTTTTGTCCTACAGTTCTAAATCTAGTGCTTTTTTCATTATGCCAATATTCCCATTTTATAGATGAGGCATAGAGAAATGCTACTTGCTTAATACCTCACAGTAACTTGACCTAGGCCTTTATCTTGGGTCCTCTTGCTGGGATAGCTGGATTCTGCATTACTATGCTTCACCATTTTCTTATCCTTGTTCAGGGGCAAACTTCCTAAAATTTTATTCCTTCCTAAGTCAACATAATTACATGAAGTGTACATACCCAGCAAAATGTCAACTGCTTGAGGGCAGGGACTTAAATTTTTGTCTTTGTATACATAGGGCCCCAGAACAGTGCTTGGCATAGAATAGATGCCTAATAAATGCTTTTCTATGGTGAAGATGATGATGGTGGTGATGATGATATTCATAGGCTTTAGAGCTAGAAGGGCCTTGGAGATCATTTAGTCCAATTCCTTCATTTTGCAAAGGAGGAAATAGAGGCCCAAAGAGGGAAAATTATTTATTCAAGATGATACAGGTAGTAGTAGCAGAAAGAGGATTTATATCCGGGTCTTTTCTGATTTTTGATACAATTTTTTTTCCCACTCATGACACTGGAATTGTGATTATACTTCATGTTTATCCAGGCATGAGAGTTATTAATATTCATATTTTTAAAGACAAGGAATAGCTCACATTTATAAGGTACTTTTCAAGTTCTATAATCTCATACTCCCAGAAACTGATAGGGGAGAGGATGGAAATATTTTTAAACTTGTGATGAAACTGAGGCTCAGAGGTGTGACTTGCTCAATTACGGTCACGTACCTATAAAAGCGGAGTGGAGACTTTTAACCCAGATCTTCTAATTGCAAGTGTAGTACTAGGGAGACACTGAGGTATGGAGACATTTTATTAACCTTCCTGAAGTCACACAGTGAGAGTTAGTGGCAGAATAAAGAAGAAAACCCCATTCTTTTGACCTCCGTCACCAGGATTTTCTACTATCCTGTGATGCTGACATGATTTATTATTTGAAACATCATACAATTAATATGTAACACAACATGTAATATGAGAAGCTTTTTGGCATAATAGAGAGCTGGCTTTGGAGTCATGAAGATCCGATTTTATATGTGTGTATGTGTGTGTGTGTGTGTGTGATACTCACAATGCATACAAATACATACACACATATGCCACTTTGGATACTTCCTAGTTGTGTGTCTCTGGGTAAAATCACTAAGCTTTATGTACCTCAAGACCCTAGGAATTCCTAAGTCAATAGAGGATCAATATCTTTTTTGGTTGGAGGGACTTGTTGGCCTGGGAATTGCCTAAACTGAGAACGACATTATAATACTTTAAAGTTTGCAGATTGCTTTACATTTGTTGCTTCATTTGATCCTTACAACATCCCTGTAAGTAGGTGCTATTCTTGTTTGTATTTTACAGAGGAGGAAAATAGAGCATACAGAGGTTAAGGACTTGCCCAGGGTCACACAGCTAGTATGAACTAGGATTTGAATTTGCATTTTCCTGACTCAATGCATAGTCTGTGAATTTATCATTGTTTCATATATCCTGACCACCTATATAGCATCATATACATTTGGGCAAACATTTCAATTCGATCTCATCCATTTCTGAGGCTGTGAGAGTTACACCTCTAAAATAAACACAGTTTTAAAGAAAGGTGGTTTAAGTCTTTTGCTTCTGATGGCTGCTTATATTCTAGGCAGGTCTTGTCAAAAGCTTTCCAGAACCCTTCTGTTTCTTTGGCACTGGTCTCTTCTCTTAACAAGGAGGCAACTTGTGAGGCCCTGGGAGGTTAAATGATTTGAGGAGGATTACACAGATAGTTACTAGCAAAGCCAGGACACATGGAGGACCCATTAAACAAAGCCATTGACAAAGCTGGCTCTTCTAACTCTCTTTCTAACACATTCCCCTGCCTTCCTGAAGGGTGACCCTGGGAACTGGGAGTGATAGTAGTTTTGGCTGAGGGGAGGAGAAGATATCCTTGCTGGGGAGGCAATGATGCCAAGATGACGTATACAGGTCCCACTAGTCTTACCTGAATTACGCATGCTACTTATTTCGGGCTCTGAATGGTGGACGGACTGGAGGAACTGAGGCTGCACAACCATGTGGTTGACGTGCTCTGTGTCTGGGTTGATCTCATGCAGAACATTCACCTGGAAATATAAAGAAACAAGCTGGTTGCACCTGTTCCTTTAGCTGGTGTTCTAACCAGCTGCTGTGGCCTTCTTTACATGCAGATCTTCTTGGAACCAAGGAGTTCACAAAAGTGAACTGTCTTCCCTTGGATTTTTTTTTAAATCAAATTTTAATTGATAGCTGTTGTTTTTACATCACTTTATTTTTGAGTATAGGCCTCCCCTCTTCCCTAACAAAGAATAAAAGAGAAAGGCAGAAAAAGCAGTTTAGGAAAACTAACCAGCATGTCAGCTGAATATACGCAATTTTCCAAGCCCACAATCCCTCAGCTCTGTAAAGAAGAGGGAGGGAGGAACATCTTATCATCTCTTCTTTGGGGATGAGTGTGGTCATTATAATTACATAGTGTTCAATATTTTTTGTTGTGATTGTTCTTTCATTATGTATTATTAGGTTATTATTTTCCTTGTTCTACTTGTTTCTCCTTGCATCAGTTCATATAAGTCTACCCATGCTTCTTTGAATTCTCTGTGCTTGTTATTCCTTATGGGGCAATAATAATTCCATTAGATTCATTTACCACAATTTATTTACCCCAATTGATTGTATCTACTTTAGTTCTAGTTTATTGTTATTACAAAAGTGTTTTGCTATTAACATTTTTGTGTATTTGGGACCATTCTATTTTGTCTTTGGTCTCTTCAGGGTATATACCTAGTAGTGAGATAACTGCCTTCCTTGAATATCAACCAGTACTTGTCAGAATGGAACTTGGAAACTGGAAATGAAGTGTTTGCCCATTAACCACTTACATGGTATAACTAAACAAATCCATTATATGAATGTAATGGAATTATTATTGTGCTGAGAAAAATGTGGGAAGACAGATGCTGAGTGAGCTCAGTATTTGGACTAAGGTAGGCAACCAGAAACAATATTTATAAGTAATTGAAGTTTGATTAAGTATGATGAACGACCTTGGTCAAAGAAAACTAACTGATGATGAAGTAAACTTATTTCAGTAGAGTTAGGGGACTATGTGAAATGTGATATAAGCTGTCAGATGTGGCTGCTATGTATGTTGGTTTGGCTTAAAATTTGTTTCTTATAAGGGAGGAGGGTTAAGGGAAAATGACTAGCATAAAAACAAAAGGTTTTGAATTTTTAAAAAGAAATTTTGAGGGGTGGTGGTGGAAGTAAAAAGGACAAAAAGAACCATGATGAGGCAGAGCACACAGACAAATGAACAGAGAACAAAGCGGGCTCCTATGTCTTGAGTTATGTCCCAGTTCTTGTCATTGGGCTACTAAGACAACTATTGGTTTAAGCTCCTTTGATGTCAATATCCTCCTTTGGGCTTCTGGTTTGCTACATTTATGAAGGAGATAGAGTATTCTCTCCTCCTCCCTATTTCTCTTCACCTCTCTCTATTCAGCACGCATGCAGATTTGAGTTCGCGCTGGATTTAGTGAAGAGTATCAACTCTAAATGATTTTGTGGTTCTGAGAGCAATAATCACTCCAATTTGTGAAAGCAAAGGGCAGGAGACCAAGGAGAGAAGCTAAAGGGTCTGTATAAGTCTCATGTTTCTTATATCTCTAATTTGATCTAACCTAAGTTTTTGCAGTTGAGTGAATGAGAACTTTAGAGCTGTCCTTCAAGGTCATTCTTGTGTCTCCTCTGTCTTTATCCCAGATTCTTTTTCTTAAGGGGGCCACAAAGAAGAAGAGAGGGGTGGCAGTTTCCTTTTAGGCTCATATTAAGATCCCGCTAGAGCCTTGAATACATTTATAAAATGAAACAATAGCAAGACTCACCTCTAAGTTAAATTCATTACTAGTGTAGCGTCCATTGAGCTCAGAACACTTGATCTGGAACTTTCTATCATCCAGGCTGGCTGGGTGCCAATTGCGATAGCGGACTTGATGAAGGACCTGCTCATAGCTGCTCATTGTGCCCACACCTAGGTCAGGAAAGCCATATACTAGTCATTCTCAGATGGGGACCCCAAGGCCAACGCGTGGCCTATGCAGTCAGTTCTCTGTATTTCCCAAGAGAGGGAATTCTTCTGATGGAGAGGGTGAGGGAAGGAATATACATCAAATTAAGATTTACTATTGAAATGGATTATTTCTTGAAAAGAGTGAGGTACTAAAGATCAAACCAAATTAACTCAAGACCATTTATATCTGGTGAAGATTCTAGATAGGGTAGATTTGCTCATTGTTATTAATAATTCCTAAAGTAAGAGAGTTTATAGGTAAAAGAAAATTCCATGTATCTAGGTTATATAGATTATTGGTTCCCATTTTTTTTTGTTCCACAAATCCCTTTCAAAAAAAAAAGTGTTTTGAATACCTAGGGTAATTTAATATACTACTCACAATATTTTTTCTTTCTTTTTTTTCAAAATTCTTAATAGTATTTTATTTTTTCCAATCACATATAAAGACAATTTTCAACATTCATTTTTTGAAAGATTTTGAGTTCCAAATTTTTCTTTCCTTTTCCCTCCCCTTCCCTCTCCTCTCCCGCAAAACAGCAAGCAATCTGGTATAGGTTATACCTGTGCAATCATATAAAATGTATTTCCACATTAGTCATGTTGTACTCACCATATTCTTTTAGATTTATTATTAAGTGCTGAAAATAACTACAATGATAACAAATTTGTAACGCTTCAAAGAGGAAAACATAATTAGGAAATAATTTACTGATTTAAAGAATTGTTGGAGGCCCAGGGTCGTAGTTTCTATTCTACTACTTAGTAGGGATTTGGGAACCACTAACTGGGAACCATTGAACTGGGTAATTCCCATTGATATGAGTGACCAGGCTGGTCATTAAGACTTGGTAACCAAAATCATGAGTCTGAAGTCAAGTGTCCCTTCTGCTGACTGAGCCATGGTGGGTAATATGATAACCTGAGTAGTCTTCTCTTTGACCTCTGACCAGTCTATTTCATAAAGATCATAAAGCTCAAGTCATGGCCATCCCTTGCAGGAAAACCATCAGCAACAAGGGGACAGGGGAACATGAAATACTATTAGTTTTCTTACCATAGATAGAATAACCTGATGTGGAGTTGGTAGCATCCAGATGTCTTTCCTGCAGTTCACCGTAGTCTAGCTCTAAGCACTCCTGTCCAGATTTGAGTTCTTCCCCCATCACCAAAATGTCACAGAAGTCCAGGTTGTGGAGCATCTCTTCTAAGAGCACATGCTTTGGGGCTAGAGGAGGGAAAAAAGTAGACACATGAGGGACAGCTGTGGAGCACATGCATGTAATAATGGAAAGGGTTAATAGAATTTTTGTTTTACTGCTTGCCAGTCATGTGAACTTTGGCACATCCCCCTACCTCTCTGAACCTCAGTTTACTCACCTACAAAATTGGGGTGAGAATATTTGGACTGTCTATATCATAAAGTTACACTGATAAAAGTGCAGTCCTTCAGTTAACTAGAAATTATTAGGAGCCTATCATGTGCCAGGCACTGTGCTAAGTGCTAGGGTTACAAAGAGAAAGAAAAAAAAACCCAACAAAAATCCAACAACAACCAACACTCTCCCTTCTCCTCCTGGCCCCCCCCCCCAAAGACCCTACTCACAAGGAACTCGAAGTCTAATGAGTGCAAACAATGGGTGCAAATGTTAGAAACAAGATACATAAAGGATGAATTGGGAGGAGGTGTGGGTTAGTCTTGGAAGGAAAGCACTGAAGGTAGAGGCCTGGGAACATCTTTTTGCAAAAGATGGGACTTTAGTTGAGAATGGAAGAAAGCCAGGAAGCATTAGTGAAGAGGGAGAGGTTTCCAAGTGGGGAGACATCCAAGGAGTCCAGAGATAGAGCACTGTGTATAAGGAAAAGCCAGGCAGGCAATGTCACTAGATTGCAGAGTACGTGGAGGCAGTAAGGCATAAGAAGACTAGAAAGGTAGAAAGGGGTCAGGAGATGAAGGACTGTAGAGATCAGATGATTTCATATTGTATCCTGTGAAAAGTAGGGAAGTTTATAGAATAGGGTGGTGACATAGTCAGGCCTAAGCCTTAGGAAGATTCGTTTGACAGATGAGTAGAGGATGGATTGGAATGGGGGAAGACATGGCAGGAAGACCAATCAGCAAGCTATTACAATAGTCTGTGACTGAAGACCTGCACCAGGGTGGTGCAGTAGTGTCAGAGAAGAGAATGGGGCCTATTATAAGAGATATTAGGAAAATAAAAACAACAGGACTTAACAATTGTAAATCATGGACATGCTGCATAAATGTGACCTATCATATTCATTAGACTCTGACACAATCACTGTGCTCCTCCTCTGTACATGGGCTGCTACTATTTTAGATCAGGAGTTCTTAACCTTTTTTGTGTTGGACTCCTTTGGCAGTCTGGTGAAGCTTATGGACTCTTCTGAGTAATTTTAAAAATACATAACATAAAATACACAGGGTTACAAAGGAAAACAATTATATTGAAATATAATTAACAAAATATTTTTTAAAAAAGATGCATTTACACCAGGTTGAGAACTCCTATTATGATGGAATAGGAGCGCTAGTCACTGAACCTCTCTGGGCTTCATTTCTCCATCTGTAAAGGGAAGAGGTGAACTAAAGGACCTTTGAAGTCCCCACCATTTTTAGATCTATGATCTCATGATACTGAGTCCCTTCTTCCCCCAGCCCCCAAATCTCTTACTCTGGCCAAAAATATCTCCCCCAAATCCTGAACTCCAAACACTAGCATTACTACTTTGCATTGATATATCGCCTCTTGAAAGTCCCCAGTAAACTGCAAATATGTTACTCGGGAGGAGTAATACATTAATCCCAACATATTAGCATGGAAACCTGAGAGCAGAATTGTATAGAACGCTGTCCTGGCTTTAGGGCATAATGTCATCGTAGCTCTCCACAAGACTTCTCTTTTGCCTGCTCTCTGGCTTATTTTATGACCCTCAATTTTTCAAGAAAATGGTTGAATAGTTTTAAGAACCTATTAAACCTTGAAAAATTCCAGCCAGAGGGCAGCAGTTCTGGGGGAAAAAAACCCAACAACTTCACCCCATATCAAAGGCATTCAAGAGCATATATGGAAGTATGAACAACAAACATAATTGAAAATTGATCTTGAGAGCCATTCTGCATAGGCTTTTCCAGCTCTTCTTTCTCTCTAATGATGGTCCCGGAAAGAGAAGGATGGCAGTTGGGTAATGGAAGCACTGGGGGTAAGGGGAAGCTCTCAGTCTTGCACTGATTGGAGAGCCATAGGTTGAAAACCTGAATCTACCTTCCCATAGTAACCTGGAAGACTGGCTTAACCAGCTCTTTCCCCAGTTTTGGTGGTGGTGGTGGGTATCAGTGGTTGGGCAGTAGTTCTTTAAATTTCTCTTAAATCTTTGCACACCCCCTTCTCGTACCTCCTCCCCACCACTCCCAGGACATTTCAGTTTTATCAGATCCATTTATGGGGCCATGAGGGTTGTACCTGTGGGAAGGCAATTTGAGTCTTTACTCTAGATGAAATAATAATAATGATGAAGATAATAACAATAACAACAGCTAGCATTTATGTAGTACTTCTAGAGTTTGCAAAGGGCCTTATATTAACTCATTTGATTCTCATAACAACTCCTATGAAGTAGTGTTATTATCTCCATTTTACAGATGAAGAAACTGAGGCCAGTTGCCTTGTTCAGAGTCACATAGCTAAGTATGGGTCTGAGGTGACTTTTGAACTTGGTCTTCCTGATTCTAAGTTCGATACTTAGATCTACTGTGCCACCTAGCTGAGAAATTAACTTTCTAAAAGACAACGAATTAATTATAATCTCTTAAAGTAGGAAGGAACTTGATTGATTATTTTGTCCAATCCTCTTATTTTACTGATGATGAAACCTTGGCCCATTGAAGTGACTCATCCAAGGCTTTATAGGTAAGCATGAGTAAAACCAGGATTAGGATCCAGGTTTCCTTACTAATCAGCTTTCTTGACTAATAGGCTATTACTGACTTTGCACTGTTAACTTGCAAAGGGTAGGGACAAACCCATTTGTCATTATTAGTAGCTTACAATAAGGGTTGGATGGCAATGAGAAAAGAACATTGGCTTTTGAGTTAAAGGACCAGAGTTCAAATCCTGGCTCTACCACTTACTACCTCCTGATCTTTAACCGATCACTTTACCTTCAAAGACCTCAGTTTCTTCACCTGTAATTGAGAAATTTGAACAAGTCTCTTCTAGCTCTAAATCTATGCTTCTATGATTCTAAGGTTCCATTTTTCTAACTAGCCAATTAACTGGCTTATTGGAGCTGTAAACAACAGGACAATTCTGGAAACCACTAATTGCCCCCTCCTGCTGGGCCCATTAGCTGGTTGGTGCTAGAGCTTTAGGCTGACATGCAAACCACATCTAGAAGGTATCTGTTATAGCTTCCAAAAACTGAGGTCAAAACCCCTTTCTTGTTCTGGCTGACATTGACCACAAATGACCATGGAAGAGAAGAAAAGATCATACAGCATAATGCACTTCGGCATATAATTCTGAAACGGCACAATCTGAGACAGGTAAAACACAATTTATTTTTATGAGCTACAGAGTGTGCAAGGAAGGCTCGGATTGCAATATTCTTCAGCCTTCGGGGAGCAAGGGTAGTTTAAGGCAACTGGTAATTAGAATTATTATAGAAGCAACCCTTCGGGGAATCCAGTCCACCCAAGCCTGTAGATCATTAGCAACCACTTTCCTGAAGGATGTATAGAGACTTGAAAGTTATTCTCCTTGAGAAACATAGTTGAGGACAGTTCTCAAATTGATGTTTTTTTCTCCTATAAACTTGCACCACTGTAGAGGGAGAAAAAAAAAGAAGAATTTTTCCTACAGGCATAAACTTCAGCCTTCGGTGTTGCTAATATTGGTCCCTAGCTGAATAATTCAAAATACTTTATTCGGCTTTCACTGAACAACCCCAGCGATAATGAAACTGGTGAAAATATGAATGCTGAAAATTTCCCAGTAGATTGGAGTAATCCTGCTGAGGGAGACCTTCATTTTACTATATACACATTAAAAAATGTTTACACCTTGAAATACAGCCTCAAATGCTGTTAGGAAGATAACAAAAACACTCCAAACTAACCTTGGTCTTCCTCCTTCCAGTCTCCTGGTGGCTCTGCTTTGGCAAGGGTGCTCACAATCTTGACATCAGGAAAGAGAGCCACCCCTCTGGCATTTTCAAACTGGGCAGCTGGCCTCACAAGGTGGTCTGTTCCACTAATGGTGATCCTGGGCTCTATGGCTTGCAGCACCATCACATAGGCATCCACATCTGGAACGCTAATGCAGACATCTTCTCCAAAACATCTGGAAAAAACACAGGGCTCCTTCAGTGAATGGTGTGGTTGGCAATTTACCAGTTCAATTCAATTTGACAAACAGTTATTAAGATTCCACTTGCTATAAGCAGGGCACTGTCAACACTGGAGATAGGCAGATGAAAAACAGCACAGTTTCTGCCCTTGGGGAACCTAACATCTAATAAAGTGATAAGATATGCCCAAATAGAGTGGGTTGTAGAGACAGAAGGAAGTAAGTAAGTCTGTGTTGATTAAGTGCCTACTATGTGTCAGGAACTGTGCCAAAAGCTTTAAAAATATTATCTTATTTGATCTTCATGACAAGGCAAATGCTCATTATCCCCATTTTATAGTTGAAGAAACTGAGGCAGACAGTAGTTAAGTAACTACTTAGGGTTGTACAGCTAGTAGCACAGCATAAAGGAAGAGAATAAGCATTTACACAAAACCTACCATGTGCTGGAATATAAAACCTACTTTTTATAAAAATTTTATTTGATCTTCACAAAGGTAGGTGCCATTATTATCCCCATTTTACAGTTGAGGCAACTGAGGCAGGCAGAGATAAAGTGACTTGTCCAGGTAAGTATTTGAAGTTGGATTTGAACTCAAGTCTTCCCAACTCTAGTCCCAGTGCTCTATCCACTGTATCACCTGGCTATATTAAGCATAGTGCCTGTCACAAAATAAGTGTTTTACTGAGGCGATAAAGGAAGATGGAGGAACTGGTCCCTGAGCTTGATCCTGATGGATACATGTACTAAACACCTACTTGGGGCCCTCCTCAGTGTTAAGTGATATGGATATTTAAAAAAGCCTACAAGTCATGCTTCCTGTCTAGCTAAAGGGACAAGATATACACCTATACTGCCCAACAAGAGAGTCTATGCCCAAGTGCTAACTTGGTGGGTTAGATAGTCAGAAATTAAGATAGTATGTAACCTAGGGACACTTCATAGATAAAGATCACTCATCTGGCAGTTTTCAACTTCTAAAAACGCACCTGAGAATTAGGAAGGAAGCAAAAAAGGTAAAAACAGACAAAACATATATTCTCTTTACTCATGGTAGAACCCCTTAGGCCTTCACTTAATTCAATTGAGCAGCTATGTATTGAACCTAATGTGTTAGGTGCTGTGGGAAGTACAAAAATGAACACCTTACATTTCTCTAGGATTCTAAAGCTGACCAAATATCTCCCTCTCAACAACCCTGTGAAATAAGTAGTACAAGTCCTATTAGGACCACACAAGGAGTGAATATTAGAGCTGAGACTAGAACCCAGATCTCTACACTCAAGAAACTTACAATCTAGTAAGTCTAAGTAGTATAGAAACAGTACTGTCTTACTCTAATTGAGGGAGGAATAATAATATCTGACATTTGTATAGCACTTGAAAATTTGAAAAATTATATTATCTAAGTTTTATAAAAGAGACATTCCCAGTCTAGAAACATATACTATGGCCAAGGCACTGTGCTAGGTTCTGAGGATACAAAGGGGAAAAAAAAGTCCTTGACACAGTCTAGTGTTGTCTAGTAACAGCTATGTGTAACTACAGCTATATTATCCCCTTTTTGTAAAAAGGAAAACTGAAGATAGATACTTCAAGTGACTTGTCCACGATCACTAAGCCAGTAAGTGTCACATCTGAACCCAGGTCTTGTTGACTCCAAGTTCGGGGATGGCCTATGCTATAAGGCTATAGGGGTGCTGCTAACCAACTAGCTGAAATGAGAAGCACTCTGGATTCTCATTCTGGGGGCATGTATGCCCACCCCCGATAATGCTGATCCCTTTGTGGTCCTAGGCACACCTCACTGCCTATTGCTGACTCCACCACTCCCAGTGATTAGTGGGCTAGTACAAGAATCAAAACTGTAGAGAAGATTTCATAAGCAACTGTGGTATTTGAGTTGGCCTATCAAGGATAAGTAAAGTTTGGAAAGGCCTAGAATAGAGAAGAGTACTTCCAACAGGGAGCAGTACAACATAATCAAAGGTATGACAATGGGAAAGCACATGACTTCTTTTGGAAATGGTGACTAAATAGTTCAGCTTGACCAGAACATAAGGTAAGAGGAATAGGAAAAATAGGTTGGAAATATATTGTGGAGGGCTTGAATGCCAGACTAAAGAGTAGGCTATGGAAAGGTTCATAAGGAGGGTAGTTGCATAATGGATGATGAACTTTAGGAAGATTACTCTGGCACCATGAATGGACTAGAGACAAGAGAGATGAGAAGTGATACAGGTTGGGAGGCTATTGTTATGAAGGCCTTACTCAGGGGAAGTAGAAAAGGAAAGGTGAGGACAAATGACAGAAATATTTTAGAAGTAGAATCAACAGGATTGAGCAACTGACTAGATGTAAAGAGAGGAAGGGAACTGAAGAGGATTCCTTGATATCTAGCTTGGGTGATTAGGGAAGTCAGAGAAAGGATCTGGTTTGGGGGCGACAAAGTGGGATTAATTCAGCTTTGGACATGTTAAGTTTGAGATGCTGACAGGATAACTAGATGATAATTATCCAATTATCTCCAGGTTGGACATGTGAGTCTGGAGCCTGAATGATAAACTTGGGAATATTCCACTGGTGGGTAATCAATAGTTGAAGTTGCAGAAGTGGTTGCCAGTGACTAGAATATTGAGTTAGAATAGAATGTTGTAGACAAACTGTTGTGTAGGTGGGAGATTTATTAGGTAGGAGGAGGAGGAGGAGGTTTAAACCAACAAAGAAAACATGAAGAGTGGTCAGAGACATAGAAGAAAAACTAGAAGCTTTAATATCCCAGAAGCTAAAGGAGAAAAAGAGTTTTATGAGAGAGAGGATGACAAATGTTTCAGAGAAGGTAAGGAGGAGGAGACCTGGGAACACACACACACACACACACACACACACACACACACATAATATGATTTGATAATTATGAGGTCATTGGTGACCTACACAAAAACAATTTCAGCTAAGCGGAAAACCAGATTGCAAGGTGTTAAGGAATGAATGGGAGGTGAAGAAGTGGAGGCATAATGAATTTAGACAATCTTGTTGAGAAGACTTGGTGAAAACAGAAATATTGGATGATAGTTCAAAAAAGGGAATGGAGTATGGCAAAGAATTTATTTTTTAGAGCAGAGGAAGCTTAAATTGTAAGGAGAGATTAAAGATGCCTAAGAAAGGAAATGACTGATAAAGCCAGGTCCAAGGGGAAGTAGGAGGGAATGGGATCAAGGCATAGATGGAAAGGTGATTCTGGAAAGGAGGGACAATTCTTCCCCTCTTGGACTGGAGGAAAGCAAGAAAGGATGGGTGAAAATATAAACATATTGAGGTAGAGTAGAACAAAGTTGAGAGAGCTCATGTTTCACGCTGCTCAGTAAAGTAGGCAGCGGACCTGGCTTTTGAGAGTGAGGGAAAGTGGATATAGAGTTGAAATTATTGAGGAAAGTGGTAATGGTTTGAAGTGTCCATTTCAGCGCATTTGCTGAGCAAATAAGAGATGATGAAAAGGGTTGTTGAACAGTAGTAAAGGTCTAACTAAAGTTAACATGAATTTGTAGTGCTTTTGCAACACTTCTGAGTAATTCTTGGCAGTCTAGGAATGGCAGTGGAAAAAGCTTGCGGTGGCCTTTCTCCAAAGTTGGGAATTGGGAGGGCAGGTCACAGGCATGAGGGATTGCAGTGGCCTAGCAAGAGTGTCAGTGAAATGACTGTCTACGTTGGCAAGGAGACTAGGGAAGCAACAGGGATCTTGAGGTACTGGGAGAACGGGTGGAACAGGGACACGAACAAGGCAAAGAGGAGTGAAGCAATGGGAGGTAGAGGATATGGACTTGGGCTTAAGTTTTCTGAGGTTCAGCTGTCATATTTGTAAAATGAGAGGGTTGAACTAGATGGCCTCTATGGTCCCTTCCAGCCCTGCCATTATAATGTTATGGAATGGGAATTTCAGAATCTTGAGAGATCGAAGTGAGTTCTGAGCAGAATCCAAGGTGTGGCTTATAGTTTTGGAGAAAAGATATAAGTGTTAGAAAGGTCCAAGAACTGTGAAGCCATGATGTTGAAACATTTGTCAAGATGAACAGTGTGACTTACATAGGGTTCTAATAAAATTATTTTTTTCCTCTAGTTTTCTAGCATGTAACATTTTCAGAACAGCAAATTAGGAAAAATGAAGATGGGAAGGTCAATTTACTAGCTAAGAAAGGGAGGAGAGAGAAATTTAAATTGATACAATTATCGAAGCATTTATTAGTCTGAGGGCATTCAGTGTGGAGACAAACACTCTTCAAAAGCTCGTGAAGACATCATTGTATTTATATTTAGCACAGTGAAATAAAGGATGGGCATAAGGACTCCCATGAGTTACCAATAAGAATTATTTTTGGTATTTTCTGTTTGAGGAGGCAGGGGTTAGCCTTTGATTATTTGGAAGATTCAGTTACCTTGGGCAAGATATTTAACCTCTTGGGGCCTTAGTTCTGGCTTTGACATTCTATGATTCTGGGGCTTCTCATTCCCAATGGTGTTGGCATTATTATATTTATAATCCTCTTCACAATGATATAGTTAAATCACCTGAATCTCTCCCTGATTGCCTCTGGATAATTCAAATGCCACCTTCTCCTTCTCCATTGCCATTTATTTTTACTTTGATTAACCTGCACTGTGGGCAGTTTTTCCTCTGATGTATACCTAAATCTCTCTAAGACCTCATTCTGTGCCTTAGTACTCTTTATGTCTCCTTTCTACCCCAACTCCACCAGAAATTCATGCCTATCTAAATATTGCTTACCCTGAAATACCCCCATTTTATTGGATATTTCTTCTATTCTCAGCAGGCTGAGTTTCTCTGGTGCAGAATCCTGTTTTGATCAGTTGGGGCTTACAGACTCTCCCTCCAGAAAGGCTGAACTTTGGTGACAACTTGTGGGGGGCTCCTCTAAGCAACTGAGTTCAAAGGAAAATTTATTACTAAAGCTATCAGAAGGGATTTACAGAGATC